ATAAAAATAGAGTAAAACATACAAATGTCAGGAACACTGATCAAGTAAGAGATAAAAGGCATAAATGTGCAATATTAACAATAAAAAACAACGGCAAAACTATAGACCCAGCAATAATGAGAGAGTAAGAGAATATAGTGAATGACATTGTCAATAGATGTGAATGCTTAGATAAGATGAACACATAAGATAAATGTAACTTCCTAAAACGGACAAAAAAAAAAAAATAGATGTATATTTTCTTTTAGTTGGAGTTTCACTCTGTCGCCCAGGCCAGAGTGCAGTGGCACACTCATGGCCACCGCAGCCTTGACTCAGGCGATCCTTCCGCCTCAGACTTCCAAGTAGCTAGTCAGCTTATTTTTTGATTTATTGTAGAGACAAGGGCTCACCAAGTTGCCCAGGCTGGTCTCAAACCCCTGAGCTCAGGCATAATAACCCCATATTATTAAACACATTGAACTGGTGGTAAAAATCTACCCTCTATCCCCTCCAAAATATGTTGCAAAACTTTGCTAAGAAGGTATGTCTCCAATATTTTAAAAAACACCTCCATGGAAAGCAGAAGCCTATTATCCTCAGATCATGCGACTGAACTAGTTCCTGAACTAGAATGTCCTTAACACAAAATCAGGCAAAGAAAATTATTTTTAAAAAAAATAGAAGCCAGGCTCGGTGGCTCAGCCTGTAATCCCGCGCCTTTGGGAGGCTGAGGTGAGTGGATTGCCTGAGCCCCAGGGTTCGAGACCCGCCTGGGCAGCGAGACCTCATCTCTACAATAAACCAAAAAATCAGCCGGGCGTGGTAGCGCGTGCCTGTAGTTCCAGCTGCTTGGAAGGCTGAGGCAGAAGGATCGCCGGAGCCCAGCAGGTCGAGGCTGCGGTGGCCGGAGTGGCCACTGCACTCCAGTCTAGGTGGCAGAGTGAGACTCCAACTCAAAAAACAAAAAAAGCCGGGCTCGGTGGCTCAGCCTGTAATCCCGCGCCTTTGGGAGGCTGAGGTGAGTGGATTGCCTGAGCCCGCGAGTTCGAGACCCGCCTGGGCAGTGAGACCTCATCTCTACAATAAAGCAAAAAAAAATCAGCCGGGCATGGTAGCGCGTGCCTGTAATTCCGGTTACTCGGAAGGCTGAGGCGGAAGGAGGCTGTCTCCTTAATTTATGTTCCTAACAAACTGCAACCTAACTTAGTGTATAAAGAAACACAAATCAAATTTAAGATTATATTTTTGTAACAAATAGCTCATTTTCAGCCAATCACAGACAGCCAACTGATCAGATCATGCCCACATAAGACTAAAGCCTCATCACACTCTGTCCAAATAAGACAGATGCCTAGCTGCAAACAATCAGATGATTTCTCACTTCGCTTCAGCCCATAAGAGCTTGCTGGTCACACTGCTGGGCAGAACTTTCTGAACCTCTTCTGGCTCTGGGTGCTATCCAATTCACGAGTCATTCTTTGCTCGAATAAACTCTGTTCAATTTATTGTGTCTAAAGTTTTTGTTTTAACATTAGTAATTAGAGAAACAAAAATCAAGAGCAGAATAAAATACTACTCAACCCTCATTCAATTAGAAAAAATTGAAAAAGCTAAAAATACCACATACTAGATAGCAAAAAAATGAATCTGTAAATACTGATGGTGGAAATGTAAAAAGTTTTCCCAAAAAAACTCTGGAAAATAATGTAGCAACATTTTGTAAATTTGAATATCCACATACCCTTATAAATGCTTTAGAAACCTCACACATGGACACCAGAATACAAATATATTCATGGCTGCATTATTTGTGATGGCAAAATGGTAGAAATAACTTAAATCCATCAACAGGAGGATGGACCAACAAAACATTTCATACAATGAAATATTATTACAGCAATGAAAAGAAATAGCTATATGCAACAATATGGATGGATCTTAGGAACAATGTTGAGTGAAAAAAGCTGCAGAAGATGATACATAACATCATTTCATTCTAAAAGCTCAAACATAGGCAAAACTAAAAAATAACTGCATATTGTTTGGGGATACATATTTATATGCCATAATTATTTTTTTAAAGCACTGAAATGAAAAACAGAAAATTGAGGACAGTAAATACCTCTACAGAGGAGACAACAGGATGAAATGCTGATCAGCATGTAGGTAGATACAACAATATTAGCAACATTCAAGTTCTTAAATTGGGTGTTGGCATCAAAGATTACCATGCCATTCTTATACTTCGTAGCTTAATATATTACATATATTAACTCTGATGTGTCAAACATTATATGATAAAATTTAAAACTGAGTATCAAAATTAAAGGTTATTCAAGACACAGCACATAAAAGCTCTCCTAATTGATCTATTTATTTCTTCCCAGTTAATTTTATTCATATTCCATTACCACATCTGTGGCAGTCACTATTTCATTTAAATTCCGCTGAATAATTTTAAAGACAGTATCAAGCACAATGCATGTTAAGAATTAAGTAGACAGCACTGTAAGGAAGAACATAATGATATTATGGAAAACTGTGTGAATGTTACATGCTTATATCCATCTCCAAATTGATTAAAAGCAAAATAAATCAAAGTCATCTGATTTTCATTCATAAGAAAAGGGAAATAATAAAATAAGTACATTAACATAATTTTGTGCCCTTGCTTATTCTATTGGTGTATGATGGAAAAAGTTTCTATGCTACCATATTACATTAAACAGATTTATTCTTCTTTAAAAATGTTAAAATACAAAAACAAAAGTCTCTTTTAATCTATTAATGAACAAGATCTTTTGAAGAGTCTACCCGCTATGCTGATGCTTCTGAAAATAATTAGCAGTCCTAATAATTACAAAAAAGTGGGGGGGGGGGAGAAGGAACCTCAAATAAGCTAAAGACCACACACAAAATTGTCAATGAAGACAAAGCCTGAACTATAGCAGTGTTAAAAAAAAAAAAAAGCCAAATTTGGTAAAACTTACAGGATGAAATAACCAAAAGCATGTTAGAAAAACAGTGAAAGAATGATCACAGATGATTTATTAAAATTCAAAAGCAAATGACTATATTTTAAAGTATACTCTTACAGAAAAAAATAATTTTCTCTTTTAAAAATAGGTAACTCAGCAAGAAAAGATGTGAAAAATCTCAATGCCTCTTTTACTCAAAGACTTTTTTCTCTTGTTGCTAAAAAGAAACTGATATTCCTTACTTTTATTTGGAAGAAAAACTATTTTAATTTTAATTTTCCCAGAATGTCTGTGTAAAAATGAAAGCCAAGTAGTAATTCTACACAGTGAACTGCACAGAACAATGCTCACTTGGTATTCATCCTAGGTCTTAAATAAGTGTAGCCTGCCAACTGTAGCCCACTCCATTATTCTGAACCTCATTATCCAATTTCTTTTTCTAGAACCTTTGTTCTGTTTCCTCCTTCCTATCAGGCATTTAGTTCACTGTTCTGAAAACTCTTTGCCACAGGAGTAATAAGGAAAAGAAAGACAAGCTCACATTTACTTTGCTACTTGAAGCTCTAAACCATTACTAGAAGGAAAAAAGGCTGACTATAATGACAAAGAAAGTTTAAAAAGTATGGCTTTATGCCTATGGCAGTGTGGAAAAAAGACCTTCAGTCAACCTTTCAAAGGGATAGCATAGCTATAGAGACATATCTACTCTTTCTAGCCTTGCTTTTATCTGCAAGAACGTCATCAGAGGGTTAGATTTGACAGATTTTCCAAGTGCCCAGGTGGGGTGAGAAGAAGGAAGACACTTGAAGATTGTTGCACAGCACCATATAAATATCAAAAAAAAATTCCAAACAATCTTGAAGGCTTCACAGGCTGGTCTAAGAGATGGGGAACTGGGGTAGTAGGAAATTATTTCCCCTAAAGATACCTAGTCAGTAATCTAACAATATTTTTTTAAAGGCTTTCAATTGGAATGCTATTTAGCTATATTACTCTGTCAAAATATTCCATTATAATTAGGAGATACAAAAAGAAAAAATAGATAACAAATCATGAAATATAAATGCAATAAAGAGAACTTTATTTTCCCACAATATTAAAAGTACATAATCACCTTTACTAATGAATAGATAATGTCAAAACACTATCTCCCCATCCCTGCATTCTATTCTGCATCTCGTGTATCTTTTATATTACTTGGAAAGAAAATCTATATGCTTTCTATGATGAAAACTAATTTTTACCTTTAAGTCTTTTATTTTAATATAAAGTAATATCTACTGTAGTAGGTGAAACGATGCAGACATATAGATGAGTCATCTTCCTTTGTCCCTTCTCCCGTCATCATAAGCATATGTGTATAAATTCTTTCAATCAGGTTCAATCTCATAAAACCGTATGTATGTGAATACAAACATAATATACATATGTACCTGTATGTATATGCTTTTGGCTTTGTTATTTGTTTTAACAAAAAAAGAATGTTTTGTATGTTACACTGCAATTTTGTTTTTCTTATTTAACAATAAGTCACCACCACCAATTGAAATAATTAACATTTTTTTAAAAGCTGCATGATATCCCAAAATATGAATGTACTACAATTTACTCAACAATTCTTCCACTAACTGGCATTCAGGGTTGTCTTACTTGTTTTAGGTTCTGAAAAAATACTATATCACAAAAACATAGGCATGAACACATGCGTAAACATGTGAACAGACATCTGTATCCATTATACTGGTACTTTTATTGCTATAGACCAGTCTCACAATCGAGCCTTTCAAAGGAGTTACAAAAATCTTTCATACTCCTATCAGCAAGACATTAATACCTGGAAAGCAGTTATAGAATGTTCTCTGTAGCTGAAATATTTCACAAAGCAGAGTCCATGCAATTTTAAGAATCAATTAGTTTAAGGTAATTTCTCAAGTTTTGATATGCTTACATAGCTGGATTTAATAAAGCTGCAGTTAATAAGGTATCTATATAAGAATCTCTGCAAGAATAAAGTTTACTTTCAAGTTAATCTTAATTTACCTTTTTTGGAAACTTCTGCCCCATTAAGTTCTTTTTGTGCTTCTTCAATTTTGTCTATTTAAAAAAAAGAAAATTTTACAAATCAATTCACCATAGACAAAAATACAGTAAACATAGTACATTTAAATAGTGTCAGACACATAAAAGTATTTGTTGAATAAAGTTATTTATGGAACAAATGTGTATAAACTGTTGAAGTAAGAATATATTCCTTTTTAAGTTTATGTTTATAATTTTAATCATTTCTTAGTCACAAGAACTACTAATTAAAGTATCTTTAAAAAATGTTATCTTTATATATGAAGCTCTCAAGAGAAATGTTATTAGAAACACAACAAATGGTTACTAGTTTAGAAACAACAAGACTAAGCAAAGTTCACAGGTGGCCGAAGACCTAAGATAAACATGGAAGACAAAATACGCAAAATATGGAAAAACAAAGGGAAGGATGAGCTGAAGAGTAGCGTGGTATAAAGTGCCTGTGCCTTGATGACAGTAGAGTTTATCTATGAAGTGTGGGGGCAGAGTGTTGCACTAAAGAGCTACTATATTATACAACTGATTGCAGAACTTACATATGCACACAATTTGGTAGGACAGGTATAACCCAGAAGCAATAATTGACTGAGTGGGAAGCACTACCTGGGTCCTGGTGTTCTTAGATCTGGGGCTCTGGGCACAATTGGATTTTATAAATATATCCATGTTCTACTTTGGTAACAACTAATTTAAATTTTATAGGAATATATGAGGGAGGACCCCCAAAACCAGAATTATCTTTTGGAGGACAGGACCCTTGTGGTCTACTCAGAATGTATTCATTTGGATCAGTCAACCAAAATTTTTATATGAAAGTCATAAAAAGGCTGTGTGACAATTTGTGGAAGAAAGGTCTCAAGTTGTGGCAAACAGATGACTGGTTCTTCCACCATGACAACACACCTGTTTATACCACATTAAGTGGTCAGCAGTTTTTGACCCGAAACGGCAAGACCCCATGTCCCACCCTCCCTATCCACCTGATTTTCCCCCAAGCAATTTTGTTTTTGTTTCCCCAGATGAAAAAAGTCCTCACAGGGAAACATTTTGCTTATGCCAAAGAGGTGAAACAAAAAACACTAAAAGACATCAAAATTGCCACGTTCAAAAACTATTTTGAGCGTGGAAAAAGTGTCTCGATAGGTGTATTGCATCAAACGAAGAATACTTTGAAGGTGACGGAACTTGAAGCATGTAAGAATAAATACACAATTTTTTATTAACAAATTCCTTTTTATTGGGGTTCCTCCTCATACATATTTGATGACTATGGCAGTAATCAATTACAAATTTAACACACTGGCTTAGACACTTATTAAGATGGTAAAAGGTTCAAAAATTCCAGAGTATTATTTTGTACTGAACTGAATAGAGTATCAATAAACATTTTAGATATCCCAACTATGAAAGCACAGTCTAGATAAATGTTTTTAAAATCCTGTTCCTTCAGCCAAATAGATAATTAGCCTCTGTTTCCAACATATACCATCTGCCTCAGAAACTGTCTCTAATGCTTAACCTGACCACTACTAACTGGCCATATAACCTCCAATATGGCATCCTATCTCAAATAAATAAAAGATACACACCCCACCATGGGCCCTCAAACTCTGGTCTATGTGATTCTTTCTTCATCTCGGCAGCAAAGCCAGAAATTCAGAGAACTTTCTATTTACTGATCAAATGTCCTTCAATTGTGTATTGATCCACCCAGCCTGCCAGGGCAGAGTGCAAGCCCCAAAACAAAGGAAGCAGGTTAGTTTGAAATATGAGACACTGTATCTCAGCAACAGCCAAAAATAACCTAACTTTCATTCTGATCAATGTATCCTCCACAGCAGTGTCCTATTTGCTTCCTGCTAGTTATCAGATCCAGGGCACAATTTGAGAAGAGTAGATAATTTTTAGAGTAAGACAATTTTTCTGACTCATAAACTCTAGTTATTTTTCATAAAAAGATGATTGAAATTGAAAATGGTCCTGGAAAAAAGCAAAAAACATACATTAAATGTAGAAACTGGATCTTGCATTCAGCAGTAATTTTACTTCAAAGAGAAAAATACCAAACGCATGCATGAAATCTACATTAGTATAGTATAAGTAACAAAAGGATAAGGCCCACCCACTTTTGAAAAATAAAATACACTACATTGTAGATATTCAAAATGTAAATAGTTTACATAAGTTAAATATATAGTCCTTGAGAAACATATAAAAGGAATTTTATTACCAAAGCACTATTATTTCTATGCCAGCAATTCACCCTAAGAATCATAAATAACCTATATGCATATATTATATATATTCAAAGTAGCAATGGCTGTACTTAATAGTTTATGTACACACACGTGATCTGGCATTACATAATAAGAACAACTTTTTGTTAATATAATCAGTTGTGGCTCAAAGTAGCAAAAACCCAAGATCTAACAAAAACTCACAGAATAGCTGCTATTTAGTATATTGAGGTTTCGTGACTTTCTGTCACCAAAGCAGAGAGTTGCACTTCAACACAACAAAACTCTTACAAAAATGACCTCAGTTTACATTTGTTTTCAAAATACTTTGTTTTTAAAATTTTAAATTAAGTTACTTTTTGTCTTAATAACAATATATATATTTGGACTACTAACCTAGGACATCTACTACATTAGATATAATAAGCATCTACTCAAATTCTTTAATCCATAGCTCCCGTTCAACAGGCAAACACAATCTTCAATTAGAGAGCCTAAAACAATCATCATAAAAACTTTTTCTTCAGTCAATTTTATGAAAAATTCTGTTTACATTTAATCTGTATTTTAGAATTCTCCTGGGTAAATATGATGTTTTTGTTTGTTTGCTTGTTTTATTTTTTGTAGAGATGAGGTCTCATGTTGCCCAGGCTGGTCTCAAACTCCTATGCTCCTGCTTTGGCCTCCCAAAGTGCTGGATTACAGGCATGAGTCACCACACCTGACTGTGAATATGATGTTAATTTAAAAAACACTCTCCAAAACCGCAGAGAAACTAGTCATTTACTATATTCTCTTAATTGGATTATAGAAGACAGTTTACTAATATTTAAAGCAATATTTATCATTTTCTTCACTGTGACTCAGAGCAATTAAGTTTTACATTCCAACCATATCACATGTGCACACATATTATACATATTACATAATTCAGAAAGAAACTTACCAATGCTCTACTTTCTATATTTTCTTATTACAAATGAGAAATGCTGCCCTCTGATCAACTAATTTCAGGACTTATTGCTGGATTGCAAATCTGTATCTTGAGACTCACTCACATAAGGAGCAATTCTTAAAACACCCTTTTTACAACACCTTTACCAAGGGTAACACTTTCTGTCAATCACATCTCTCATCATAAGTCTTCAATAGGGGCAGGGGAACAAAGGGGGAGGAATGATGGGTCTTAGATTCTGAGACAGCCCCCAACGTGCCCTCCCCGTTATCACTGGGATCTGGATTAATAATTTCACGAAGAACTCCACATTCAGAAAAATAACAGTTTCTCTGCTGCTGTAATCTAAAAATAAAAAAAGATATGCACACAAAATGGACATTCATATCTTGTCAGAAAGTCTAAAGTTAGCAGTGCATTTTTACTATAATGAGCTCTTACTATATTTATATTGAGCTGCAATCTTAATTCATTCCATTATTACTAAATATACTTGGAAGAGTTGACACCAGAAAAAGATGTCATCAGCACACGAATGGGTCCATAATCTTCTCTAAGACCCAGAAGGCCAGTATCTAAACAAGCAATAGGCTAGGAAAGGAAGAACTAATAGTTTAGGTCATCGTTTTGCAACTATTAAAAAGTTGTACTTTTTATGAGACACAGGTTTTTTCTTCTTTAAAACACAAACTGTTAACAATAAAAGTGAAGAACAATCTTGTATAATACCTTACATAATTTCATTTAAAAATGTTTTACAACAAAACAATGCAAAATATATTTCATTTCCATAGTTCAAACGTGATTATTTTAAAAGTTTCTATTTGTGAAACATAATGTGAAACCACTGAGCCAAAAAAAAAGGCCTAGAGTCTTTATAAAACATTTTTTATGGTTTTTTGAAGAAGACTGGATAATTAAAAACAAATCATTTAACAAAAATTAAATGATCTTCAAAATAAGAATGCACGGTAAGTCCCCTGCTCTCTGATTTTCATCCTATGCTAAAGTGTGAGGGTCTCCCTCACCATCAGAGGCCTCAGTGCCATTCCTAAGGAGTCTCAGAATCTAGTACATCACAAGCTTGAGAATTAGTCCATTAAATTGTTAGGACTTGGTTCAACGAATGCTGTGTCTTTTCACTGTACTGAATGCCTGCCTTCGGTCGGGCACAATGGGAAGAGCTACAGGGCCAAAGAAAACAGAATGGCTCTCCTAGAGGGGCTCCTAGTTTATCATATCCTTTAATCAACCATTTTAATATCAATCTATGGTAAATAAAGTTCAGATTTTCCTGTGTGGTTAATATGGTCCTGTGTGATCTAGTTAACTCCTCTGTCCTTCCTCATTCCCATTTTCTTTTCAGGATTACCAGGCTCTACCAGACCCCTAGGACTTAACAGTTAGTTGCTCTGTACTCTTGCCTGAAAGCTCCTCCCACATCATCCCTTCTCTGCCCGACATCCTTTCAAGATGTGGCTTCTCCGGAAACCTTCCCCAACACCCTCATTCAGAGCCCATCAATCCCTTCTCCACACCAACACTAAGTCTTGTGTGTAGAACCCCATTTCTCTATAGCTATATATCTTGTCATCATTAGTAATAATGGCAATAGGATATAAACACTGGCATTAACATAAGTGTCAATGAGAAGCACTGATGGACTCTGAAAAGAAGAGAAAACAGAGCACCTATACACAAACTGAAAACTGACACTGGGTGGTTTCAATAAAGAATGTAGCATTCTATCATCTTTAACATCACAAATGATTTCAGCATTTGGGAAACTCTATCAGTACACTGAAAGCATCCTAGTCACCTAT